CCCATTAATGTTGCACTGACTCGCTCAAAGTTCTAATGTAAATGGAGACAAACACTAGCTAATGTTTACTAGCCGTAGCTTGTAAAATGCATGTTAAATACCACCAAAGGTCATTCTACCTGCTTTATAACACAGCTTTTTACCTGTATATTGGTGTGAAGTTTGATGTAGACACATAAAAAGCACTGTAAAAACCATTAACTTCGAACTTGCTGAGATGTAACCATTTATAATTTTCATGCATCCCGCCATGATGACTTTGCTAACTCCCGCCTCCTCCAACGTCTCTTCCTGCCTCCTCCGCCTAGCAACCGTTCGATGAGTTACCGGCGCGACAGCCAATCACAAAACAAGACAAGATGACGTCATCGCCAGTGTTTGATATTTCAGTTTCGGGTATTGCTAATCTGCCATTTTCCTTTTTTTGCGAGTTTATTAGGAGAATATGTACTACTAAAACAGATATTTAAACATTTATTGTCAAGTTTAAACTGTAGAATTGTCTCAAATTCCGTTGTAAACAAAATCAAATTAAGGTGAATGAGTCAAACTTTTTTCTCTCTCTTTGAATATCTTAGTTTTTATTTGTTTAATGAAAATACCTTGTTAAGCCATAATACATAAGAAGAACTATATCTTCTTACTGGAGAATTCTAAGTCATGTGAGTGGTTGATTGATTCACTGATTTTATTTCAAACACAAATAAAATATAGTGAACAAAAACAAAATAATGTGTCCAAAAAGGAAAAGGTTTATGAATATTTGTTGAATGTTACCTGGAAGTAATTAGTTTCTTGCTTTGAACTTAAGAGCTGTCACAGAAACAGTAATAGAAATACGGAAGCAGCTGAGCCTTGTAATTAAGTACGTTGCATATTTTACAAGATACAGGATTATTTTTTCCCCATTTTTATCTAACGCTATGGAAAATGTAATTTCTAAAAAAGAAAAACTTCTCAAAACCAGCAAAAATAGTATTTTTAATTCAGAAATCTTATGTGTTTTGGCCTATTTAATGGGGAAGTCCAACAGACAGTCATTGACACACCCTCAAAAAGGAGAAAAAAAAGACATTGCTTAAGAAGTTGACTGTTTATGTGGTAGAAAAAGTTGCACAAGCAAATCCACCAATGCAGATGAGCTGAAGGCCACTTTCAAAGTAACCTTCCCGTGTCGTCCTCGGTGCCACAGGTTGATCTCCTTCAGCAAAACATGCAAAAGAAGCCATGACCAAATACTGAACAGTTTTAAAGATTTTCTGTGAAGCTGAATTTTGGGTTTTCAGTAACAAGATTCCATGACCATTATGATTAAGAGAGATAAATGTATGAAATCTATGGTGTAATAAATCTATGTAAAAATATGTTTCACATTTTTAATCAAATTACTGAAATAGATTCAGAATTCAGAAAAAATATCAGAAACTCACAAACAAACATCAAAGACTGGTGACAAACCCTTTAGAGCAACTCAACAACCTCAATATTATAATTGATTGAGAGTTCACAAAGTATGAGAAATGTTACAAATAATTGATTGATTGATATGCAAAAAAATATGTCACTTTAGACGTAGTAGGCATGTTTAAAGTTTGATGTGACGGAAGTGACCATTTTTTACCTAATGTAAATTTGTAACATTAGGTACGCTTAACTATAAATAAATTAAGCGTAATCCAGGACTTGTTATTGGATTAAATTGGTGACAATGGACAGTGGGTGATGAAAAAATCCCGTCTTTTTATAATAAGCTGGTTCTGTAGGAGATGAGGAGAAGACGTCATGACAACCCACATTCACACATGACTGCACAGACAGGCTGCAAATAGGTCAATCTGGGTTGTCAAACTGATGATTAAGCTGAATGAGGAATTTCCAAAGCATTAAATGTTGCATCTGAGTCACAGAAGTAGCTATATGTCATTACTCTGTACACATTTGAGTTTTTATTTCTTTTCTTGCATTTTTTTAAGCAAGGAGATATGTCAGAAGCCTGATTTGTACCGTTAACCTTTAACTGAGATAAAATACAAAGAATAGGAGTTTTATTTTTGATTAATATCAAAGACAATATCAACCACAGAACGACAATTCACTCAAAATTTAAAATACACCAAACCAAAGCCCCAAACTTTACATTGTTATCCCAAGATTTATTCCTTCAATTCACTTTGGTCAAGTAAACAGATTGTACTGCAGGAATCCATAATCTGCTGATAAAGTCCTACTGTGTGAAAAGTCACATTATGTTCAAATATCCAGGGAAAGGGCTTCTAATCTACACTATACAGACGTTGTAATCAACTTTGTAACATGTTTATTTATCCTGTGCCAAAAGTCTGCCTTCTCATTAGAGAAAGTTTGTTTTTATCTTTTTTTTAAATACGTAAATGTTAAAAATGGTTTGGTTCTCTTGATAATTAAGAACCTTTTTTAGTCTGTTAAACCACTTTACAATTCAGGTTATTTATGTAACCCACAATCCAAGTAGAAATGACCTTATGACATCTAGCAAAACAAACAGGTTCAGTTTATTTACAGTTTTAGAAAAATATTTAAGGAAAGTTCGTACCAATAATTTAGCCTACTTCAATTAATCATGAAGCTATCTGTCTAAATTTAACCTACGCATATCTATCTATCTATCTATCTATCTATCTATCTATCTATCTATCTATCTATCTATCTATCTATCTATCTATCTATCTATCTATTTATCTATCTATCTATCTATCTATCTACACTTAGCTTCCTCTGGTGGACAGATGGAGAAACAACAATGACGGTTCACTTCGCAGCACAAAACCTGCTTAAATAATCTAAAAACTTTTTATTCTTAGTAATACAGTTTTCTGTTTGGCTTTTTAAGTCAGAATTTCTGCAATATAACATTTTACAGCAACTGTGTTAAGCCACGTTTAGCCTTTTTTTCCTGTTTTAAAATATGCAACAAGTTTTCCAAACTTGCTGTGTCACTGTGCATACACAGAATACCCAATCTGCCACATTGCCTGTTTCCGAGTTAACAGCAATAAATGTTTCAGTCAGAAATGATCAAATCCTGCACCAGCCTATGCCTGATGATGTTTTTACATTAAAACATTTAACAACAATTAAAATAGAAACTGTGAGAGCAGTATGGTAATTTTAGAGCATCTTGATTAAACTAGCGATTTGCTTAGATAGTAGAAGAACCACATGATTCTGCAGTTAAGTTGTAGTATCATTGCTGTAGTTGTGCAACAGTTCTGAAGCTGTTTTTCCACTTACTGAACGTGTGATTAGCTGAACCTTCTTTCCACATACCCAGACAAGCCCAGAAAAGCTCGGCAGCTGCATTTGTATCTTCTCTGTACGCTACAGAGACATGCAGCAATGTCAGAATCAACACCCGCCAATGGTATTGCTTGCAGGATTGTTTGATGGAGTGTTGTCCTCCTGAACTCCACCCAACATCTGAGCTCCAGAGACTGCAAACAGAGTCGACTCTCACACTAACTCTTTATTCATGGCAGCTTTATACTGCTTACTGCACAGTAGACAACAGATACTTCTGAGTAAACGTGGAATTTATCATCATCTAAGTATGTCACTGTTATAACTTTTTATCTACTGCAAACACTTTGTGATCATAAATTAAAATATCTATGCTTTTCATTGTAGGCCCTAAAACTTTTATTCATAATCCAGCATTAGCTGCTCAGGCATGTCATTGACGTAACTGTTTGTTTTTTTAATACTTTATTGCAAAGTAAATGTGCATTTGGTGCAGCTGGTGTTAAGCTCCCATAGCTGTTAAAGTGTTGTAATTCAGACAGCAAACAGCTTTCCACAGTTATTTTAAAGAACGTAAACATTTAAAAAGAAGTGTTCACACCATCAAAATTATTTTCTGACATTCATTTTCAAATTTGACTTTTGTCACGTTTGTCAAAGGTGTTTCTCAAAGCCTTAGAAGCAACTTCAAGTTGCAGTTTATTGATGCAAGACTGGGCGGTCACGATAATTTCAATTCATCTGGTTTATTTCACAAGGAGGATAAGTGATTCAACTGACTTATCTGCACTTAGTAGGACAAATAGAAAATGTTTAAGGAGTTTTATGATTTTGCTATTGTTGCACATAGTATGCAACATGATCAGAGCATTCTTAGATGTGTAGGAGATAGAGGAATGAGTATTAAATATAATTTTAAGTGTGTTGATAATTGAAACATTCACAACATTCAGAGGTCCACCAGTACTCATGTTACGTGGGAGACTAGTTGCATATTAGGAAAAATGGATTTCAGTTAACTACATTGTGCTTAGATGCTATTAACAGACTTTTATTGCAATTAACAATTTCTATAATAATTATAAAGTGACTTAAGGGCAGAGATTTTTCAAGAGGGGCTACCAGAATATCTATTGTGTAGCAGAATACTACTTCTATTCTTTTTTTTATTTTGATGAAACTCAAAGTAACACTGACAAAAATAACTAAACATTTGAGTTGCTTACATATTTGCATTATTTACATAGAAACGTCTGGTATCTAATGCTAAAACACAAGAAAAGTAACATTAAACTCTTAAATATGAGCTATATTAAGATATTATCTCATCACAATAAAATAGTAAGAGCTAACTTGTATGAGACAAATAAATCAGTTATGAGACATAATTATACTATTTTATTATTGTATATTATTATTGTATAGATTAATCTATAATAAGGCAAACTGTTAATATTTGCATAACAACGTAGAAATCACAAAATACAATGACACTTTAGAAATGTTAACTTTTCTCATCTGTTCTACCATAACACATAAACACCACCCTCTAAAAATACATCGTTCTAACTTATACTTTCAATTATTAAAACTGTGTCGTATTTTTTCTCAAAACAAACTATAACTTAACCAAATTTCTTTCTCCACCCATTAACCTTCTCGCTACAACCAGGTTCAGAGTTAGAGTACTGTAATTAACGGACTGTCCCTGAAGGCAGCATAAGTAGGAGAGGTTGTGTTTTTGTTGAGAGTGAGTAAAAAGCGGAGGACGCAGCAGAGAGTGCGAACTCAAAAACTTCGTCCAAAGCTTCGACACACTGCCACTTTTTACCCCTAAAAGTACTCAAATCAGTTTTCTCTCAACGGTAAGTAAAAATATATCACGAAATATTATATTATACCTTTGCTTCGGCATCTTCCTTTTGGGTTTTTCTTCTCGTTTTGATTTTTTTTTTGTAGTGACCGTTTAACGGTTTCAAAGTGTGCAGTAATAAACGAGTTTTGTGACTTTTTTTTGATTAAAGCTTAAAGTAAAAGGGACAACTACGCGTGTTTATGTAAGCTTAATTAATTCACACTAAATCTGAGTGATTTGTTTGCTGTAATTTGGTCCGATGATGACAAAGCTGGTTTTGTTCTCGGTGGTAATTAGCGGGTCGTTACGGAGGTACATTGTTACAAGCGACTTTAAAAAGCAAACTTTAAAGCATTTTAATTTAATAAAGTAAAATTTATCACGTTGTTTTGCGTTTTTGTCATAATTTCTTTACATTGCACACTTTTCTGGTCCCGCTGTTCAGGATTTTTACGGCTGCTCTGTACTTCCTGAGACACCCAATATAAAAAGAAACGCTTAAATAAGTCAGAGGAACTTTTTATAAACTCTTTCCTCTACTTTTTGAGACGTCGTGATGTGTCAGTAGCTCAACCAAGGGGCGTTTTACTTTTCGGTACTCCAACGCTTCCTCCTGAAAATGACTCAGATCTTTCACTTTTCTAATTACATCCTATATAATCCTTAATATATCTCTTATTTTATCTCTAATTTGGCTTCCTTTCAGTTAAAACCAGGATCCTGCTCATCATCTGCCATGGCTGTGGAAGGTGGAATGAAATTTGTCAAATATGTACTTTTCTTTTTCAACTTCATTTCGTTGGTAAGTTCCAACCAAATTCCCCTTCTCCTGACACTTTTATTGTTAAAACGTTAGCAGACTGGGTGTGGAACTCGACTAAGAACTTCACTAACAGGCTTCACATCATGAAAATACCGCAGTTTCACGTGATCAAAGATTTAAACCTAACTTCAAACCTCACTAAAACCTTTGCCTGTGCAGCCAGAAGTTAAGCAAGACAAAGAGTGTCAGTATCAGTTTTGTGTCTCTTCTTGAACAGGCCTGTGACTTAAAATTGAACCAAACCTCTGTCAAATCAGCTGATGAACACTCACATTGGTCACACAACCTACTTTTTCTTCTTCCGGCATCCATATGCAGGACTTGTTTACTTTTGACATCTATGAAATCCTGGATGAGATTAAACTTTTCCGGCTTATTGCCTGTTTGCAGTCTGGGAGTTTTAGAGGTGGCAATCGTGGAATGTGAATCTTTTGACCGGATTATCAGAGTCGTGTGATTGTTTCCAATCAGCATGTATTCAGTTTTTTTTTATTTATGGACCCTGTTCTATACTTAGCGCTGTATTGTGCAAACCCTGTTCTGGGTTGCAACCTCACAGCAACTTCAACTTGCACATGAGGAAGTCAAAATGACTAAGCAATGTGGCTATGGTTTTAACTTTAGCAGTCGTTTTGACTTTAAGAGTTAGAAGTTTCATGCAGGAGTAAGAGCGTGTAAATAAACACTCTGGCTATGCCTGATTTTCCATCTTACTACGTCATAGAAAATTCCCTGGATGTTACTTAGTAACTAATGTATTTTGTGTCTGTTAGTTTTTGTGCATTGAGCATTAAATTTAGGTTTGACTAACCATTCATCTTCAGGATCAGTGCCTTTATTTTACCATTTTATGCCGTGTGCATCAGATTTATATATTTTGGTTTTAGACAGAAAATAGCAAATATAGTTGAATTATTATGGCCTAAGCTCTGTTTTTTATTACATAATATATTCCAGGATATGTTCGACATTATTGGCTCAATTCACCTGCTGTCTTCACTCCTTTTTTGTTCCCCAGTATCAGCTATCAGCCACCCAATTGACCCGGGCTCAAATATTTACACTGCTGTTGTCAACAAGAAAAGGTTTTCCTTTTAAGCCAGTGCTTAGCACGGGTTACAGGGAAACCAATGGATGGTGTGATCTGGTTGGAGATGTTCACAAGCTAAAGAGTTTATGTAAGACTCAATGTATGTAACTATTGGTGCAGTGATTAAAAGTGGTCTGTTTGTGCTAAAATTGAACCAAACCTCTGTTAAATCAGCTGATGAAGTTTATAAAACAACAATTTTCTACGATTGTGAAGGAATTTTTTTTTTATTTTTGGCAGCAAAAATCTCTTACTGCTTTATATGTTAAATATCAAGGTGAGAAATTGCTGGTCTTGTTTAACGAGCAGACCACAGTAATTGCCAAAAGCGGCATTATTAACAAATATATGATATTCAAAATCCAACCAGTCACATTTGAGCAGGCTCTAAGTGTTAAAAGAATATATTTGCAGAAGTAAAAATGAAAATCAGAAGTTATTAGTTGATGGTAATGTGGATATTCTTCCCTTTATATTTACAGAAACAACAAGTTTGTAACCTTGGTATACATCATGACTTTAACCATAAAAGTCAAAGATGAGAATTAGATACCACTGATAATTTGGCACATTTTTATTCTCGTTGGCTATATAGTCTGCTGTTGGTGTGTTTATCAGCAGGTTATGATTGCTGCTAAACTTCAGTAAAGTTGTAAGCAGTACAGTGATAGTTATGTCTGGGAGTAAGAAGGTAAAATAAAAAGTAAATACTTAGAAATACAAACACAAGAATACTGGTTAGATTAAATTAGCCCTTTGGAACACAAGAAATGTTTTTTAAAAGTTATGTAGAATAATTAGAAATATCTTTTTTACACATTCCCCCTGCTTCATTCTGCGAGTTTTCTGTCCTCAAACTTTTCATCCAAACGTTCTCATTGATGTTCTGTGACAAAGGAGTCGATTTTAAAATTTGCATCAGTTTTCTGGAAATTTTTAAAAGAAATATCTACAGTAATGTTGAAAGGTATAAAACTAGTAATAAGCTTAAATCTTTATGGATTATGTAAAGTTTGTTTTTCTGACATTTTTATAAAATCTTCTAACAGAATAAAAGAAGCTTTTGCTGTTTTGGGAGTGTTTTTTTCTGTTTTAACGTCCTCACAGCCATGTATCAGTTTGCAAAAGCGGATTATTTTTAACTCAACTGAGATAACAGAACCTTACCAAGTCTTTCTAGAGAAGCCTTTTTCTTTTCTTTTTAACCGTGCTTCTCTAATGAACACATTCACAGTTCACTGAATGTACTTCCCTGTTGTTTGCTTAAGAGCTGCTTGGTGTGAGCTGATCATAGCCAAATAGATTACACAAACACACACACGCACACACACACGCACACACACACACACACATGTTTGTGTTGCTATCTTTGTGGGGACTTTCCATTGACTTCCATTCATTTCTACAGCCTAAACCTTACCTTTACCTTTTTCCTAACCCTAACCATCACATACCTAACCCTAACCCTAACCAAAACTCAATTCATACCTTAGTCCTAAATCTGACCCCTGATTGGTCCCACAGATGCACACACACACAAACGCACACACACACACTGTTTGTAAAAGGTCCGGACGGCTACTATTACCCCACCCAGAAGATTGACAAAGTCTCATATGATCATTTTCCACTTTCAGGAACTGAAGTATGTCGTAACTTCCCATCAGTTTAGTTGTTTAGGTGCAATGGTCAGTCATCTAGATTGAGAAAATTCTGGGGGGTTTTTGTTCTTACTTCCATAGTTTTGGCATTTTTGTACGCGACTGTTTGGGGTTCTAAAAGAATCCACTTCCTCTGACCCTGGGTCAGTTCCCACCTGCTTTGAAAACACATGACTCAAGGTTATTTTGTCACAGTTTTCTTAGACATTTTGGTTTGATCAGGAGAATCTGTCATATTTCATAGGAATTGAACGGCCAAAATGAAAATCAGGAACATAACTAGCGGCAGTGTAAAAGCTTTAGATAATAAAAGACAATTTCTAATCCCTAAGGTGGGATATTTATAAAACACTAGCGCACATTATATATTGTATCCAAGAATAATTACTTGTTGTTTTTGATAATTTGAGCAGTTTTCTGTTTGGACATTGTCTAAGTTTAATATTCAAATTATTTCACAGTTTGACTCCATTTATTGATGCTCAAAAGTTTTTTTTCTGAATTTGCATACTGAGATTCCCTCCATAACTTATAAATTTGCTCCTTAGTCTTAAGCAATTTTTTAATGTTTTCCGGTAACTGTTTTGGTGATTTTCTTGTTGATCATCCGCTGTAATTAAAATTAAAAAGATACCGTAGTGATGGGTTAACTATAAAATACGAGTTTACTTGTTAAACGTATGGGTTATAAAAGTAATAAATGTATAACCCATACATTTATTGCTTGTGGAAAGGAGTGGAAATTTTGATAGGTTTATACTTCCAAAGTTTTAACATTATAGTTCATACTGTATTTTTTGTACATATTCAAAAATTAAACAAACAGTTAATCGGAAATACACACAGATTTAAGCTTTATGATTTTATCTCTTTTTCCTTCTTTACACATCAAATTATTTAACTAAAGCAAATTAAACTAATATGCATTGTTTCATAACATGAATACAAAACGATTTGTTCTCGGGTATGAAATGGAAATAGGTTTGTCCAAAATAACTGTGTATGAAACAGACGTGCAAGGTAATCAAACCTCACATAATTTCTTTAGAATCAGGAATAACTTTAGTTCTTTTAAAGCTATAATCAAAATATTTCTAGATGGGTACATTAAAAATTAGACCTGAGTTTTATCACAGTGAAAAACACATTAATTACTTTATTTGCTGTGTATATTTAAACAACAAGCAGATAGTTTAACTTTCAACAAAATGTAGCTGACATGAGAACTAAACTGGTCTCCTGGTCTTCTTACAGTTATGTGGACTTGCACTGATTGTCGTGGGAATCGTCGTGCAGGTTTCTGTGCACAAAAGCTTTCAGATCGTGGACGCCAGCGCCTCTGCAGGCCCCATTCTGCTCATCGTGGTGGGCCTTCTGACTTTCTTCGTCGCATTCTTCGGCTGCTGTGGAGCCTGGAAGGAGAACCACTGCATGGTCGCCACGGTAATGCACTGATCCACAGCATCCTTTACAGTCATGAGTAAAGCTATAGCAGAGCAGCTTATATGCAGATTTATTTAAAATCAATTAAACATGGCTATAATAATTGCACAAATGGCATCAACAGCCAGTATATTGGGTCTGTGTATTTTTGTCCTATTTTTTTAATTTCTTTAAAACTATATTATAATTATTTCCCACCATTATTTATTTTTTTAGTTTAGTTTTTGTTCTTGTTGATCCATCAGTGCTTCTGAAGCATAACTTCCCATGGGATTAATCCTGTAATAACCAGGAAGACTGTTTGCAATGCATCTTTCATTGATGTCTAATGTTTATTATAGTTCAAAATGTATATGCTTGTCTGCCATCACAAATTTATGTACCACAAATTCATGGGGTTTAAAATTATATCAAACCATCCATTGTAGCTGTAACAGCTTTAACTCTTCTGTAAAGAGTTTTCACAAGGTTTAATAGTGTGTTTATTTTTCCAGAAGTGAAGATAGGGAGTATTTATTAATGAACTAGCCCACTGGTAATTAATTATGAACTGTACTGAGAGTGAATATCATTGTTATTCAAGCAAGAAAATCAACTAAGGCAACTCTAAATCTCTATACTACTGTAGAGAGCGTAGAGATATTTATATATGTGCCACATATGTAAAGCACATAATTCTCACTCAGTGGATGGTTATTCCTTTATAGATAACATTCATTCTCCTCGCTTTACACAGCAAAACTTCAGTAATCGTGATAGAGCTGAACTTTGTCTAAGTTTGATCAAGTCCTTTCTTATCGCCTGTTCTTTGTTGTATTCTTGGCAAATCCCAGCAATTTAATTACCTATCTTTAGAAAAGGTTTGTATTGAAAATGTATTTTTAATTATTCCTTGGACCAAATCAATCTCTCCTTCTCCATCAACCATTAATGTGTAAAATAAAAATAAACTAATACATATCTGGACAGGAAAACCAATATTTTTGAAGTAAATATTTACCTCCCTCACTTTTCTTAATTGTTCTGCAGTTTTCCTTCTTCCTCTCGTTGGTCGTCATTGCTGAGATTGCTGCAGTAGTTCTTGGATACGTATACAGAGACAAGGTATGAGTACACTTCACTCTTTGTTATGTCGTGTAACTCCCTACAGGAGGGGTGTTTTAATTTTCTTTTGTGTCTTCCGTGTAGGTTAAAACCATGATAGAGAAAAATCTCTCTGATATGATCAAGAACTACAAGTCGGGCTCACAAGAACTCAAAGAAACTGTGGATAAATTCCAGACGACTGTAAGTTCAGCATCGCCTGTCCTCGTCACTGTTTACATTGCTCAGCAACACCTTTGCATAACAGTTCTGCATCCTGTTTGTCCTTCACCATGTGACATTGTTACTCTTTGCGCCGTCTGTTGGCCCAGGCTGCAGGTGGCTCTTCTGTTATCAAGGTTTTGTGTTGGCTCATTTGCAGTTGAAGTGCTGTGGCGATCAGAACTCCACCGATTGGCAGAATTACGGTGACGATGGAAAAACCGTGCCTGACTCGTGCTGCATAGAGGTCAAACTAGGCTGCGGAAACGGAACCATGACAAATAGCACCGTAGTGTACCAACAGGTAAAATATATTCATTGTGTTTTAGCTGTTGGAGTTTCAGGAACAGTAGGTAACAGAATGTCTCCAGCCATCATGACCGGATAAGGTCCGAGAAGCTCGAGATATTAAGTTAGCCGAAACTAAACACAGACTACATTCCATGTAGATGGAATGTAAATATTAGGGAGAAGCATAATTCCACTTAGATAAAATTGTTTCTGAGACAAATAAATGTAGACTTAAGACTTGGTCGTGATGCATGGATTTAGAGAGGCGTATGTGATGCCTGATGGCTGTCTGTGCCTTTACAGTTTGTTAAAACAACCAACCTTTATGCATACATAGTTCTCGTGTGACGTCACACTTCCGGGAACTTTGCTGTTGACAGCCATCTTGGTAGGTATCAAAACTGTCATTACAGTTGCTAGCAAATAACTATAAAATGGAAAGGAACCTATGCACAGTTTTCTTTTACTTTATTTTTTATTATTTTCCTCATTAGTGGAAACAAGACACAATCAACATTCGTTAGAAACAATACAATCAATCAAATAAAGAAAATTGGAAGAGCAAAAGATCAGTTGTCTCCATCTTGTGCTTTATTCCTTTTTAACATGTAAATTATTTTCTAGTGAAAAATAATCGGCTATGTGTTGTAAATAATTGCCTAATTCTCTGGAGGCGACATGCGCAGTGCGGTGGGTGCTGACGCAGCACGACGTCTGCTGTTAATCCCTCTATAAATCAGAAGCAAGGTGATACAAACCTGATTACGAAAGCCACCACAATGTTAATCCTTCCCCAGTTGTGCAAGGGAACATGCTGCTTCAAGCATTCCCTACAAATAACTGTGAATTGAACTGAGTTAGAAAGCAGTCCACCATGAATAAACTATGTTAGGAACTTTTCCAATTTGATCAGGAGCCAAAGATTTCAGTCCCTCTTTCAGATCACGTGCTAGCAAATTAATGTCTGCTCACTTTTTGTTTTAGGGTTGCCGTGACATCATGGTGAAGATGCTAAAGAAAGACGCTCAGTGGTTGATAATTGCAGCTATCATTGTTGCTGTCCTCCAGGTACGTATTGGCTGTAAACCAAAGCACATCATCAGAGGATTCACCTATCGATATTTCTTTGACCAATATTTTTTTTTTCCTTAAGTTCATGATGTAAAAGAGAGAAACGTACTCCTAATTGAGGCGGTAATTAAGAAACAAAGAAATTACAAGATTATCCCCTTTTATGCATGATAACATACATCCCAAATCTTTATCTGAATTTTATTGAAGACAAAACATAGAGCAGAAACAAACTTACCGTTTGTGTCCTCATACATAGAAAAGAATGGGAGTTCTACCTAAGGAAGCATGATATTATCTGCATGGTCTCGGTATCGGCCGATATTAGCTGTAAGATTTAATATCCGCCAAATATTGGTCAAAATAACTCACTGATATAAAAGGCGTCGTTTCATAGGACAAACCAGTGGCACCGATACCTGCAGCACGGCACTTCAGGTCTGCACTCTTTGAGTGTCGTCATTGTCTTAGAGAGACCAGATGTCATGAATAAATCTGACGTTAAACATGCTGCAAGTTGAAAGTGTTGCATCATTTCTAGTCTCCTCTTTGCGTTTGGCTAAATTGACAAAGATAATGTAGTATTTTAATTCCACAGTAGAGAAATCAATATAGTTTCAATGAGTAGGTATAGGAAAAAAATATCGGTATCGGTTATCGGCCAAATTAGTTTTAGTATATAGGCATATTGGATATTGACCAAAAATCCAATATTTTGCTTTCCTAGTTCTTAGTTTTGATGAGTTTGATAATTTGAAGGGGAAAATTATTTTCAAAAGGGCCAATTTAATCTAATAAGTATTCTTGTATTTTTATTTGGAAGTATACTTTTTATTTTACCCTCAGACATAACTATGTATGATTTAAATGTTATATTTTAAATGTAGCATCATGTGGGGTTTCATCTTCATGTTAATTCATTCATTTCTTTCTTTCAGCTTCTGGGCATCGTGTTTGCTTGCTTGTTGATGAGAGGCATCCGCGGCGGCTATGAAGTCATGTGATTGGCATACAAACAAGTGCTGGCCGGTCGGGCCCTGCTTATTAGGAACGTCATTTCAAAAGTTAATATTCAAGTTAAAGTTCCCATTTTATTTACAGGATTTTAAGTTTCTCCTTTATAGCAAAATTGGGTTTTTTAGTTTCATGTTGGATCATTATTCCTGCTTTTGTACTGTAAATACATAGAGAAAGAAAAGCATTCAGAGGAAAGCTGATGATTGTCTTGGAGTTAAGAGAAAGACTGGAGGTTTTTAAAGCCTGACTCTTTGGAAAGTATTTTTGAGTTAAGTTTTTATGTTATGGTTTCATTTGTAATAAAGTCTCCTGAAATTACATGGATTTTCAATAAAGACAATTAAGAAATAAAAGTGGCATTGAGATTTTTATTGCAAAAAAAAAGTATAATGCAATATTGGCACAAAAACACAAAAACTCAGAACTTGAGTAAATAACATTTACAGAAAGATTCATGTTTCAGATGCTGAGTGCCAAAATTCACGAAAGGCACAGGAAGTATAATGACGAACTTTACAGCTCCAGTTATGTTGTACTCCTTCGTACTTTCAGTCATCGGTGTTTGAACAGGTTGGATGAAACTGTGCTAAAATACATGAATTTAAATCTCCACATAAACAAAATGATGGGTACAAAAAGTAAACAGTAAAGTGCAATCACAACTTGACAGTCTACATCTGGGCTTTATCCCCCAATTTCTGTATTTTGTCTAAAATTTAAAGCTAATTTTAGTCTTTTGAACAACTTTATCGTGACCAGAAAGTTGGAAAATAAAAATAAAGCATAAAATGAGGTAACGGCAAGAGAAAATACAGCATGTTTGATGACAACATGTCCACAAATTCTGAATACAGCTCTCCTTACATTTATTACTACTGATTTACATCTGAATTTTTCATTTAACTTTATTTCTTTTTCTCAAGTAGAATCGTCTTGGTTTCCCAACATGCATTTTGTCCGAGTGTAGGTGCAAACTCGGACAAAAGCAGAAGCTAAGCATGTGTTAAAGCAGTAATGACCTGAAAAACAGGAACAATGAACGTTTTACCCCGAGTTTTTAAACAATCCTTTGAAAAAGTATTCACACCCCTTGAGCCTTTTTGTACTGAATGAAATACCAGCACAAAGCTGTTCATAATTATGAAGTGGGCGTAAAATGTTCTTTTAACAATCTGAAAAGTGTGGCATACATGTTCTTAGCCGTTTCACTCTGATTCCCCTAAATAAAATCCAGTTCAAGCAAGAGCCCTAACATGCAAAATATTACGAACACACCAAGGACAGGATGAAACATGGTGGCAGCAACATGCTGTGGGGATTGTTTTACTCAGCTGGGTCAGAATTAGACTGGGGTCTGGACTCACCTTCCAGTCGGACAATGACCCAACCAAACGACCTAGTTAAAGTCCCAGTTTCGTTTGATCTTGAAAGATTTTATTTTTAAGAAAGAAAGACAGTCTGTCCCATTTTATGTTGGTCTATCACATGAAACTGTGGATTTAAAGTGAAGAAATGTAGAAAAATGAAAGGGTGTGAGTACTTTTGCATGGCATAGCAGATAAGGGCTCCAGAGGAAATTAAACTTCCCCACCAAGGTTCAGAACTGCAAACAGAAACATCTGTTGTCTCTGATAAAGACTCTTTGACGTCATGTTTCCATATTAAATTGTCATTGAGGAAATTAGCATCAGTGTCCGGCGTTGGGTTTTTTCTTTTGAACCCAATCTAGCCAGAAAATGTTCTACATTTCTTTTTTTTCCTTCGCAGTAAGAAGATGCTGACACTCTTGTGTGCATTGCAACACGAAAGTGACTATAATCACAGGAGCAGGCTTCCTGTCAGTGACGGCTCGCAGCGCTGGGGTAGTTTGCAGACATGAGCACCATGCAGTGCAGCAGAAGCGACAGCTCTGACTCTGCAAATTTTAAAAAGAAGACAAATGTATAATGTTAGGGTAAAGACACATTCCTTTAAATTTAAAATGAGGAAATAATCTTAAAAAAGATGGGAAGTAGTAGTCTATGAAAGACTTTGTTGTCCCTCAATAACAAAATTAATTTCTGACTTGTGTTTTTATTGAGTTTCTGTTAGAGGAGCATCAGAGCGATGGCGTCTACTCCTACTGACTGCAGAAGGTAGAACATTTATGAGGCAAAAAATAAAAGTACACATCATTTTACATTGGTCAACCCATTTAATCAGATATGATCTTGTTTACAATCTACAAATATATAATCCAATAGAAAATTAGAAACTTAATTAGCTAAAAGTATTTTTTGTTTTTCCAAATATTGATTCCTGAACTCTTCCTGAGTTAAAACATTAGGATTGTTGTTTTCAAACGAATATGAACTTGTTTTATTTGAGGTCTGAAAGCGCTGCATCTTTCTTGTTATTTTGACTATTTATCATTTTCTGTAAATAAATATTAAATCTTTGCTTGGACACGTTGTCAGTAGTTCATAGAATAAAAGACTAATGCTCATTTTACTCAAACACATAAAAGTAAAGAGTAAAATTATCATTTTAAATGGTTTCTTAAATTTTTCCAGAGCTGTATGTTCAGTGAAGTACGAAACCCAGCTTCTTAAATCCACGCACCTTTTAAAGCAGACGACACCTGAAGCCACTGGGCCAACCACTCCCGAGACTGACTGGTACCAAGACTGTCAGCGTTCATCCCTCTCACATAACAAGCCTGCAACAGGAAAGACTTAGATCAGCCCGAGAAACTGCTTCAGCTTGGGGAAATAAAACTCACCGAGTGACGAACCTGTTTGAGTTCCCAGTCACTGAGCTGGTGAGGGCCCATTCGGCTCAGGGCTCGGTCCAGCTGGAGCAGCTCCACGGCATGGCTGTTCAGCCGTCGACCAATCAGGAAGCCCGGGAGACGGGGCGTGAGGAAGAGGAGGGGGCTGATGTGTCTCTGATCAGCCACAAACACGGATGAGCTCAAACAGATGCAGCAGAGAGAAGGTGAATGAGAGGAAGGCTTTGCTCACCATCTGTTCGTTGCTCATTGTGTTCATGGCCAGAGGAGCTCTGGAGAACAGACTTCTGACAGCCAGGATTTCAGAGACATTCGGGTTTCCGCCGCGTTGCACCTGGATGCAAACAGAAAGTAATCCTGTTAAAGTTGAACAGAAATCACAGCACACTTTAACAAGTTTGATCTCGTTTTTAAGCAAGATGTGCCCAACGCAGACATTAGCATGTCGAAACACGGCTGTGGATCGGTTTAAAGAGCTGCAGCGAAATAAAACAGAAACGAAATGCTATTTTCTCAAATAATAACTTTAAATCTTTTCTTGAAATAATTGAATATTCTGTATATTCAAACCAACCACATTTATTGCCACCTATGATAACAGATGTGAATTTTTTTTTAGATTTTAATAATACTCAACTAATTTAGCAAATGATTAATCATTAACTACAGTGTAAAAAAGGACATTTGATGAAAGAACAACAAACTCAGAGCAGTAAGCAAGCCAAAAATAGATATACATTTTGGATGCAAGATTAAAAAAATCTCATAGTTTTAACATAATCCTGTTCAAATTTTCTTGAGTAACAACAACCCCAAAACATTAAATCTCCTATTAAGCATCTTTTGTTGTCCTGTTATTGATTGGTGAATAATAATAAAAATAAATTAACCTTAAAGTTTCTTGATGCTAAGCTTTTCACATGTTGATGTTAGAAATATTATTTTAGTTGCAGATGCATCCTTTACTACAAATGATCAAGCGTTCACTAAAGGAATTATATTATTGCATTTTAGACAATAAAATTTTTATTTTCTTATTTAAAAAGTAACTTAATTTGCTTTAATTCATTTCTATTATTTAAAGAAGGCTTCAATGTAAAATCAGCAGAAAGTGCCAATTTATTAAAATTCGATTAATCGTCAGCATAATCAGGAACTAAACTAATCATTAGTTGCAGCCCTAATTTCTGATACATTTCCTTACCTTAGTGCAGAGGTTCTTCAGAAGACCTTGCAGGTGACCGTTTTTGACCTGATGGCTCACGTCCTCCAGCTCTTTGAGAATCGGTTGGTGGTGCTGAGTCCTGTGGGAATGATACACTTTCCGAAACTCCAGCTGCTGCCGGGGAGTCCAGAAGTGAGGAATCAGCAGCTGACGAGGGAAAAAGTACCTTGAAGCCACACGGAGACATTGGTGTTACCGACTACAGTGGTAATAATCAGGCACAAACATTCATCTTTTTAAAATGTTGTGCCGAATATAAAATACAATAAATAAAAAAAACATGCAAACAGGAAACTCACATTAGGAAAAAAATCAGGTAGTTTGCAAATGGAGGAATGGTAATAATCACAAGTGGGACGGCCTTTATTAGGTCTCTGCGAAACTGAGAAGCATAGATTACATTAGTATGCAACAACATCACACAGAAATCAATGAAATGAGAAAAACTCAAGCTCAGCAAAAACACAAGTATTTTTGGTCTAGTTTCTAGTGCAAATATCTTAGCACACTTGGAATGAGACAAAACTAACTTGCAAGTAACTTTTCAGCTTGTTTTAAGTCAAACATTTCTTAATATTTATGGAAAAGTAAAGATTATTTCAGATACAACATGGGAAAAAGTATTTTTATTAGTGAAATAATCCTCTAACGGAACTTGTACTTTTTCATCAATATTAAAGAATTAACTTAAAACAAATGGATATCTTGATTAAACGTTACAAAACTAAGGTATTTGCACTAGAAACTCGATTAAAACTGCTTGGTGAGCGTATTTGCAGTGAGATTATAAATTTTAGCTACTCTGTGTAGCTTTTGTAAAACAGCATAAATGTATAATCTGTAAGAAGATTGAGTTCTAAGATTATATGATGGGAATCTCACAGAGACTCTATGTTTAGTCTTGATAGGACATCCAATTGTTTTTCTGTAATTCTTGTTAAGGACAATCTTTTATTGAACAATGACATAAAAATACATTTTCATCTGTTTTCAATATTTTCTTGTTTATGAAAGCACCAGTTTTAGCATTCTGAAACAAATACACGTCAGCTACATTAAGGAAAGTAATTAACATTTATTCTTTGGACCTAGATTGACTGAAATCAGATTCGCAATGTCTAGATGCAGTATTGATCCAAGGCATTTTCTCAGTGCATCATAGGCAATGAAAGGCTGCTGCCACCAGGGGGAGACATTGGTACTCAGAAAATGTGCCTGGTTTGCAACACTTATTTTTAGTATAGCAAGACAAAACAAACTGGTTATAAGGTTACAAAGTCCTGTAGCAAAAATGGTCATTGTTGGTCTCTCTGCAGTTATCAATACTGTTGCTGAGATCTTTCTAAATTAAAAAGTAAATTCTTTTTTTATTATTTAATGTAATTTGACATTTTGACCCCCTTCCAAGCTCCTCATCCAGGCTTCACACTAACATTTTTTATATTGTTGTGAGGAAAGAAACCCTACATCTAAATAAGTACCAGAGAAAATATCACTTCTTTAAGACACTGACCTGTCTGAGTTTTTCCATCTCCCTGTAGTGTAAATCGTGGAACTTTACTCCCTTCGTCAGCATTTTGGTTTTTATCCTCTTCACTTCTCTGGCATCCTGGAACAGCATCTTGAATCCTGGAAGAAGATTCAAGGAAACATTCATAAAGAGAGGAATTCAAGGAGAGCAAGAGGAACTGTGTATCATATTACACACTGTAGTTAGCCAGTTTTCCTTCATTATACGCACAGATTTTGCCTTTACTCTTGTTTAGGTGTCAGATTTCCAGTGTAACTAGATAACACAAATAGCCAAACACTATTTCTAGATCATCATTTCTTTTAAAAGCAGAGTCAGGAAAGACAGCTGTGGTGAGGAATGAACCCATCTTAGTCTTGTTCAGGGTGCTGGAGGGCATCAGCTAATAGCCATAATACAACGTTACAAACGTTTTTCACATGAAAATTGAGAAATCTTTGAGAAATTATCCATTAGATTTACATCTGGACTTTAAGTGAGCATTTTGACACATAAATTGCTTTGATCTGCCCCAGTGGTTCTCAATCCTGCTTCACTCTTCCTTCTATCTTAGATGCATCTTTGCTCCAACATACCCGATTCAAATGACTGATTTCCTTTCACAACAATACCTTCAAGTCGAGTTTATTTGCGTAGCACATTTTAGCAACAAGGCAGTTCAAAGTGCTTTACATCATAAACACATCACAGTGACCCATTGTGAAACAAGTGAAAAACATTACATTTTGCTGAGTGACACCATCAAATATGTTGGTCAATGCTCCAGTGATTATGGTTCTAAAGCAACTCTGAACAAGTGGGTGTTTTAGTCTTGATGTAAAGGAAGTCAGTGTTTCAGCTCCTTTGCAGTTTTCTGGAAGTTTGTTCCAGATTTGTGGTGCCTAGAAGCTGAATGCTGCAGTGAAACACCTAGGGGTCCTGAGGATCCAGACCCACTCATCTAAACTGAAGCTCTAGCTGCAAGTTTTGGGTCATCATCATCCTGGAAGATTAGTTTCCACACTAGCTTCAAGTCATTTGCAAACTTTAATGTTTCCTTCCTGGAAAGGCTTTCATTTAGCATCGCCCTTCTTCCTATTAACTCTGCGCAGAGTGCCTGCACCAGAGAGAAACGCAAACCCACATAATGATGCTGCCACAATGGTTTACATTGGGGATGGTGTGTTCAGGGTAATATGCTGCGTCAGTTTTCTGCATGTAGTCCAACATGAGGAAAAGTGAAGCTCTGATAAAACTCTGGTCTCTTCTGAACAGTTTCCCCTGCATGATGAACTTTGAATGAGACTCCATACACAGCTCTGAAAAAATGAAGATCCCATTTCATGGTTACTCCACCAACTATTGATCTCTGAACTCTTCCTGAGTTAAAACAGTATTATTGTTGTTTCTAAATTAATATGAACTTGTTTTCTTTGCATTATTTGAGGTCTGACAGCACTGCATCCTTCTCATTTCCTGCAAATAAATAAAACATTTTTGCTTGGAATTTCAGTTCTCAGTAGTTCATAGAATAAAAGAACAATATTAATTTTACTCAAACATATACCCACAAAAGGTAATATTTGAGAAACTGATCATTTTAAGTGGTCATTTAACCTTTTCCAGAGCTCCATATGTTTTTGTTTACAATAGGGCTGCAAGTAACTGTTATCTTAGTACTAATTAATTCGGATTAAAGTGACTTTTTTACTTAATTTGTACCAGGTGAAGTTAAAACCAGCTCGTTTGAGGAGTTCCAGGTACAACATATTTGCAGACATTTTTTTTATCATCTTAAATGGAAAATGCATAAATACTGTTATGAGAATGTTATTTCAGCAAATGTTGAACACCTGAATCACATAATTAGGCCATTACGAGATAATTCAGCCATTTAATTCAGGTGTGTTGGACTTAGGACATATTGAAAAGTTCCTCTCCTGTCTTCAGTTTAGGTGGACAGCCATACATTGGTAGGTTTGTAATTGTGCTACAGTTTGCATTTTTGAATGGATGGACTGATGTTCAAAGCACATTGTTTGATAATATAACCCTGCTTTTACACACCTTTATCACCGATCTGTCTGGTGTGTTGGTAGTTTTTGTGATGCCATTTGGTTATTAATGAACAAACCTTTGTAAAGGGAAGTGGTTGCACTAGATTTTATGTAGGGGCTATAGTTTATTCTACCTATATTTATTCAGAAAACTGGATGTGCCACAGTAGCTATAAAAACAGATACACAAGGCTGATAACCTAAAGAACTAAACACTGACAGTAAACCGCATAAACCCATCAGTAGTGTTGCAGATGAGTACATTTTGCTCTTACCTTCCTTAAAGGTGTGATAAAGCAGGAAAAATCGAGGAAATCGTCTTTTAAGAAAGTCTTCATATTTGGCATTTGCCCACTGGATTCTGGAGGAAACATATCGTCCAATACCTCGTCTGACTTTAGAAGAAGTAAAATGTTTGCACAAAGGTAACCTGTGGCGTAAAAAACCCCCCACAAAATGTTATATAAAATGCATAAAAGTCCGATCTTATCACAATGAAGAGTTGGAAGCACAAGAGCACTACATAATGACACGGAACATGTACAAGTGACACCTTTTGTAAACATCTCCGATAAACATTTTTAAATAGTCAGCAGGTTATCAACTGTCTGCATTGAGATTTAAATGTACTTAACGTTTGATTATTTAGCAGGTGTGTAGCTAGCTTAGCAAACCATGATACATTCCGGTTAAATCAAGTGAAAAAAGGGAAAGGTTCACCCTGGGAAGACAGACCTGGACTGGCAGGATACGTCTTGAAGGTAAAAGCCATGTGTTATCCTGTTTGTGGTAAGACCACTTAGTCGGGTCAAAGACAACCGGCTGCACAGAATCGAGCAGGAGAGCGCCATGTTTGACGGGCAGAGCAGTTACCGTTACTACGGTAATATACGGGAAAGCTGACAGTTGGTCATTTACCGTAATACACAGAAAACGAAACGCACATTATTTTACGTTTTCACTGAATGTTAGGTGGAATTTTGGGCTTTATTAACAATACATGTTTAGTTGTTAGATCATATGAAAGCTTACTCAAAATAAAAATAATAAATAATGAATGGTACAGTGGCGGTTCTAGACCAGGGTTGAATGGTGGGGCCAGTGTTTTTCTTAAAGGCACACAGAACTAAAGAATGAATCAGAAATGACATCGTAATATTTCATTGTTTATTATATGAAGTGAGCCAGATAGCTCAGTTTTCAGACTCCTGATTTAGCAGATGAAAACTGGGATCCTATTTAAATATGGCTGAAACTACAATACCTTAATTTTCAATTCATTGTTGAAATGAAAGTATGAAGGTTAAACAATTTAATTGGTCCCATTAATTATTGTTTCTGTGCCTGGCTTTCTAACCTTATGGCCAGACAGAGATTGAAAAAAAAGGTGTGGCAATAGCAAAAGAGAGAATTAGTTGTGCAACAACATGTTTCTGTTGAATGTAGTCTCTGCTCCATAGAAAATGAGCTGTTAGCATGTCATGTTAGTCATAAGATTGTCATACAGCAACAGTCTTCAGTCAGAGGACTCTCCAGATTCGTTGGAAGACTAACTGCTACCAAGGATTCTTTCTGCCCACACCATCACCATCTACAATAATTCTTTGAAGATTAGATGATGAGTTACAACATTTAAATTTCCCAAATGTTAGCCCGCTTTAAAGTCCCTTTGACGCTGAAACGTTTTAACGTACTGTTGACGTTAAAACGGTCTAAAGTTCCGATTTCCGAGCTAAATGGAACGCAGCATTTTTTGAAATATTGCAAACTAACCGGTCTTTAAACATAATTGGTTGTTTAAAGTTGTACCGGCGTTTGTATATATTTCAGAAATTAAAAATTGGAGTTAGTAGGTGAATTTTAACTTAAACTCACATTTTCTGCTCGTGCCAGGCTGATAGTCACGTGAGCAGCAGACACTATAAAGCCGGAGGAGGACTCGCTCTGCCAGTTGATCTTCGTTTGAGAAGTCGAAGATTATCTTCCTCAGCGGTCTGAAGGGTTCCATTTGTGTGGTTAAGTTACAATCTTTTACTTATTTGGATAAATATAACTTGATATAAACGACATAAACGTGGTTTAACTTCGTTTATTTGTAAAATGAGAATAAAGAATAAGCTAGGGCCGTTAATGTTGAAGCTAGCTTAATGTTAGCAAATTTGGGTACGAGCCAACGTTTTCTTTCTTTATTTATTTATTTATTTATTGTCATGAGTGTTGCTAAATCTGTCTACGTATTAGAAATGAATTTGTGACTGGCTAGCGTGAAGGAAATTAAGTGAAACATTTGGTATTCGTCGCCTTGTGTATCTCCGTGAAACTTGCATTGCAATTGGCCGAGTAAAACGAAATGTTTTAGTTGAAATCTACGTCGGCTCTTTACATTTCATGCTAATATGCATTTTATTTCCTCCCAGGTTGGCCCGTCCAAAGGAAATTTGTCTTCCACATGGCCTCCATTAAATTCGGAACCAGTACTAGTCCATGCAAAGTGCCCTCTGAGGAGAGGGAAGAAGAGGTTGAAGATTATGGTAAAGTTTAAGATTTTGTACTATTTGTAACCTGCAAAATCTGCCAGTTTTCCATCTGAATCCATTTTCCATTCACTCCACTTTAGATAGCAGGGCAAACTGTGATCCAGACAAACTTCTACAGTGTCCTTTTGACAAAAACCACAAAATCCGCTCCTGCCGCTTCCCATATCACCTGATTAAGTGCAGGAAGGTGAGTTCCTGAGTTGGTAAAGGGCTGGTAAAAATCTGCACTCATGGTATTTTGTGGGTTTAAAATATTTTTCTACCAAAGATAAAATATTAGTATATTTTAGATTTACCAGATGAATACATTTGAATTGAATTCAGTGAATTTACACCCACTATACCAGATTGCATTTGATCCTCCTTGATATATTGGTACCCTCATAAAAGTTGCTCCTTGATTCCATTTATGGCCTTTTTTTAAAAAAACATTTTTTTTAATTTGATTAGTTTGTCATGGCTGCACAGTGGCAGCCATGCACTGTGCAGTTGGTAGAGCTCTACCAGTGATGGACTGGGTTTGATTCCCAGCCTGGGGTCTTTCTGCATGTAGTTTGCATGTTCTTTGTGCATGCATGGGTTCTCTCCGGTTTGTTTGTCCTGTGTGTCTCTATGTTGCCCTGCGACAGACTGGTGACCTGTCCAGGGTGGTACCCCGCCTCTCGCCCGGAACGTTGGCTGGAGAAGGGTGTAAGAAAATGGATGGATAGTTTGTCATGTCATACTGTATTATTGGGGACTCTGTGAATACAGTTGCAGGAAAAATGCAAAACATCGCTTTTTGTAGTTTTCCTAGCATCAAGGTACATAACATACAAATATCACACTGTTGGATTACATGGTGTTAATCCAGTGTCTTAAAGAAATTCCTTCTTGGATTATAGAAGTGGGTAAATCAAATGACTCTCCTGCAGCAATTGATTAGTAAATTAAAGAAATCTCTCGCCACAGAATCACCCAAAACTGGCCAGTGAACTGAAAACCTGCCCATTTAATGCTCGCCACCTGGTTCCCAAGCACGAGCTTGCTCACCACACAGAGACCTGCGAGGATAGAATATCTGTGGACACTGAAGATGGTGAGATTATTTTATTTTCTATCCACCTAACAGAGCTGTTACGGTTTGTTTTCTTTTAAATGGTGTAATGTACATGTGTCTTTTGTTTAACAGCTGGAAGCAGAAATGGACATGTTGGCTGGGATGTTCCAGTCAACACTTGGGTCAACCCAAACATGACTGAAGACTGGGATAAGGGTATAGTAAAATATCATAAAGGTTTAGAAGAGATCACACTAAATGTGTCTGGAGGAAATGTATTTAGATCAGTGTTTATCACACTTTTTTCAGACTGAGGACTACTTGCCCCATTTAATAACTCACAACCTAACTTAATATAAAACCTAGAATTAAAATATTACACTCTTAACTCACTTATTGTCTTTATCCATCCTAAAGAGGAGGTGGTGCTGTTTTGTGGCTGCCCAGTGGTGCAGTTGGTAATAATGTTGCCTTGAAGCAAGATGGTCTTTCTGCAAGGACTTTGCATGTTCTCCCTGTGCTTGCGTGCATTCTCTCTGGGTACTCTGGGTTCTTCCCACAGTCCAAAAACATGGTGGTAGGGTTAATTTATTTCTCTAAATCCTCCTTGGGTGTGGATGTGCATGATTGTTTGTCCTGTTCGTCTCTGTTACCCTGTGATGGACTGGCAGTCTGTTCAGGGTGTACCCTGCCCGTTGACTGCTGGAGATGGGCACCAGTAGCTATAAGCATGTATGATCATGGAGGGGTATTGTTTTGTTAATGTGACTGGCCACAACAAAACCATAAACTATTGCTCAGGCCATTTTGGGTTATTTACAGATTCTGAAAGGGTTGATTCTAAGCTTTCCAATTATGCCAAGCACTTAGAAATAAAAAAGTGGTTTATGTATTGTGTGCATTAGTAACTTTTTGAGGCCATTTGTAACTTAGAAGCATGATGAACTTGAGTTGCTCTGGCAAAAACAGAAATCCTCTTCTCCACATTACTCACCTATTTCTATCAATTGTATGTATTGTGTATTTGCCAGTTAAATATTTTTTAATCAAATAAAAAAATAGCAGCAGCATTTTTTTAATGAAGCTGAGGTCACTCAAAGCTTTTCTTTTGAGTGACCTGTTCTTAAGCAACTTGCTTTTTTTTCTTTTTTTTTGTAAATGCAAAACTTTGGTAAGTTAATTGTATGAAACACATTTTTAGCTCATTTCACAGTAAATAAACTTCTGTTTATTTGCATACCTCTAGGGGGCGCCTGTGGACCACAGTTTGAGAAAAGGGTTGATTAGATCAGTGTTCCCAACCCTGGTCCTCAAGGCACACTGACCTGCATGTTTTAGATCAGGGGTCACCAACTCCAGTCCTCGAGGGCTACCATCCTGCAACTTTTAGATTCACCTCTGCTCCAAAATGTCTGAATTCCCTCACCAGCATTCATTCCTCTCTGCAATAGGCTGGAAAAGAGGAGTTTATTTGATCCAGGTGTGTTTGAGCAGAGACGCATCTAAAAGTTACAGGATGGTAGCCCTCGAGGACTGGAGTTGGTGACCCCTGTTTTAGATGTTCCCCTGCTTCAGCACACCCCTTTCAGATGATTGCAATTCAGCAAAACCCTGTTAATCAACCATTAATTGAAATCATGTGTGCTGAAGCAGGGGAACACCTAAAACATGCAGGTTGGTGTGCCTTGAGGACCAGTGTTGGGAAACACTGGATTAGTTGAAGCTTCTCCCATATTGCCATGCATTTTATAATTCTCTGGATAAACTATTGCTCTGATGTATAATGGTAGCAAATTGTCTTTTGCAGAGTCAGATAATGTTCAAACTCCATTTGTGTGGGGTGTAAGCTCCAAATTGAACCAAATGTAAGTGGTGGTCTTTACCTCAGCATTTTCTGTGCATATATTCCTTCATACTGACTTGTCTTTTCTTTTTTTTAATTCTTTCTGCAGACTGGCTGCCAGACCCAGTAACAATCTTGGCCCTAATTTTAGAGCTCCCAGTACGCTGCCATGGCCCAATTATGAGCTGTGAGCTCTTAAACTATTCATATGCATGGAGTTATTTTTTTTTTATTTATTTTTTTTTTTTTTGCATGTTTAGATCAGTTTGAATGTTGATAAACTATCTGAAACCTCTCATGGCTTGTAGTTGTGTGGATCTCATTTAGTGTAGAGGATGTTTTTACAAATGTAACCTGTAATTGAGCAATCTTGTTTTTTTTTTCATAAGTCTTATTGTTTTTAATGTTGTGACTTTGCTGTGTTAGATTTTTGGAGTAAAAGTTTCCTTTGTTAAATAATTGTGTGGTTTAGTTATCTTTAAATGTGCTAACTTTTTTTGTAGCACTAAAAAAGTTGCACCACATGTAAAATCTTTTAATAGAAGTTCCCATAATCTTGTCTGGAGCACAGTAGTTAAGGATTGTTACTTGAATATGGTAATTTAAGTTTACCCCCCATTACGGGTTAAGATGGGGCTAGTTTGAGATGTAGACTGAGGTTTACTTTAGGATTGCAGCATAGGCTCGGTAGTTGAGTCTTTTTTCTCCACTGATAATTGAATAAATTTCTGAGCATTTGAAGTCGGCGCTAAAGTGTCTTTATTGATGCAAACATGTCATGTCTATTTAAAAGTTCAACATAATTTTAATGCTATTAACACAATATTTACTATAGGAAACATTTTTCTCCATTAAATGAAAGATGATGCACTCAATTGTTGACTTTCTACAACTTCCAATGTGAAGTTTCTTTCTTGGTGTTAAGTGGTTTTGCATGCAAGTGACTACAGTAAGCATGATCTGACACTCGAGTCTGCTTCAGTTGCTTAAACTAAAAATTAAGGTAACTATAGGCAGAAGCCAGTTTTCATTTTTTAATATGAATTCTAGCCTTGCTTCAGCATAAAGATGGTACTGTTGTAACATCAAGGGGGAAAATTAATTTAAAACGATTAAATTGCCCTGAAACGACAAACTTTAGAAATCCCAGAGAGACTGTAGTTTGAAAACTGTATTTTTGTTTATAAGTTTAAAAGCATGACCTTTCCCTATATATGGGTACATTGTGTAGTTTTTCATGAGGATAAATTTTGGTTTAAATTGGTAACCAAAGTTTGTCACACAAAGTGAATGGCTGTATTAATGTTCACAGTAACATTTGATTTGAATTATAAAAGGATGGGTAAAATAAACATGAATATGGAACCTGATCTACAAAATAAAAAATATTGCAGGATTATCAAAAATATTTCACTTTACAGAAAATCCAAATTTGGAAGCAGAGCCAAACATTGGCCACTAGATGGCGCCTGTAGCCGCAACGCTTCCCTCAGTGAGGACAGCTGACCATGAATGACCTGAGGAAGAGAAGTGTGTGGGCTGCCAGCCAGCTCCTTCCAGTCATATTTAAGTGGCATTATAGATTTCATTTTATGGCTGTTTTAGTTGTACTTATTAATAGAAGTGCTGAGCACGCCACTGCCTAAGAGATCAGTATATAGGACTCATTTCAGGTGTTTTTTTTCCCTTTTTGTACTTCATTTCCTGTCTCAATCCTGATGCAGTGTTCTCTGAAATCACTGAGGAGTAATGAAGCATTATTGATTTAAAAAGCCACCTCCCTTTGGTTGGAAATCTAAAGTGAAATCCATATTTATTCTCCAATCAATCTGAAATCTAAAAGCCTTTTATATTCTGCCTCAGATTAACAGCCTACTAAAAGACAGATGTTACCAAGAAATCCCAAATTAACACTTGCAGTCATGAGAGAAAGTTAAAGGGAGGATTATGATGTAAAGTCGACTTTTTTTTACTTTATCATGTTATGATGTTCCCTCATGAATATCATAACTCAAAATTAAAGTAAAAACATCATACAGTCACCAATTTGAGAACTCAGTACAAAAATACAACTGATCAATGTTCCAGTGATTATGTGTTGAAAGCAACTCTAAACAAGCGGGTTTGTAGCCTTGATTTAAATGAACTCAGTGTTTCAGCTGTTTTGCAGTTTTCTGGAAGTTTGTTCCACATTATCCATCTTTACTGTCACAACAAGGTGGCAGTTGTAACAAATATGGGTGAAAAAACAAAACATTTTTGTTAGCTCTAAGTCATGTTTTTGGACTGTGGGGCGAAGCTGGAGTACCTGGAGAGAACATGCATTAGGAGACTCCATGCAGAGAGTGATCCAAACCCAGAACCTTGATTTTGCAAGGCAACAACACTGCTAACTGCACCACTGTGCAGCGCACAACAGACAATGACACACATTTGAATCAGTCACAGTGTGTGCTTACACATTTGTGTCTACTGTTAAGGAATTGGGGTCATTTTGACATGTGATTTGACTGAGCCACCGGCCTCACCTGCGGATCAAATGACGCGGTCAACCATGCTCAAGTCGCACTGCTGGATCGACTTGACTATGAAACCTGCCACTTGGCCTTTATAAGAGCCTTCCAGGCATGTTTTTGAAAGGCATATCTGTCCAACGATCTCACTTTGTGAATTGACACTCGCTCAGTTCTTTTAATCTGAGAGTCCGGCACAATGTGCGAGGAACAGTAATGTTCTTGGGAACTTCCTGCCCTGTGAGTCTGCCCAAAGCTTGAGATCTTCTATTATTGTCTGCGTTCCTAACGAGGCACGTTCACATTGCTCTCGCTTTACAGAGTTACAGCAGAGGCATGGTACTGGCTCGATCACGAGGGAGCTGCTGTCCGCGCTATCTTTATCAGTGTACCATCACAGGGAGCCTGTGTAATCACAGTGATGCTGACTATCCAGTTTCTCTTGTTGCATAAGCTCTACATGGCTGCAAGGTTATGAAAGCATCCAAATTTTATATTACATTACTGCACCAGACTGGATTTGGGAGACTTTAACCTGGAAAAACCTTGAGATTAGTGCATTACAGAACATCATACATACATGCGTGTGAGACTTTTTTGGTATTCGGCTAATGTAAAAATAAATAAATGAATAAATTTGCAATGCAATTACCGCATTTCTATTCAATAAGAAATACAATTAAAAGTCACGTGAATAAGTTTGTTCTTGCAATAAATCATTACAAACATCATCCGCCTACCACTTCCTGTTGACTTTTTCGCCAGTTGTAACATCCAGTTGTTCATCACATCAATTGTGTGATGCAAAAACTGTTTCCATTGAAATACACTCATTTTGATAGAGCCAATAAACCACCTCACGTGTTTCCATTAAGCAAACTTCACTTTGCGAAATTAAATGCAGCTGTTGTCACTGTAGATCGGAATGGGTAGAACTGGTTTTAGACATCTGGCCTAAACGGCTTCCTCCCATTGAAGTGGATTTCTCTAGTAGAATTTCAACTGGACCAGTCAGCAAACAGAAGAAAGAGCTGTGAACGATGATTTTCTGCACCATTTTAAAATTTTACTCTGCCTGAAGTTTTAGCAATGGCAGCGGAGGAAGTGAGCTAAGCCAATCAGTCATGCTTCCAAATATTGAATTAACATTAACAGCCATCTTGTTTGGCTCAGTAGTGGGGGGTGTTTGTTGTGCACCCACTGTCCGGTCAGCTTTATAGAGGTGAATTGTCATATTACATACGGCCAAAAGTTCACAATTTGGTCAAATTCAAACCTTAACAGGGTTCATGCCTCCAGAAAGCAATCGTTTTTCAGTAGCTGAGGATCAAGACCTTCTGTATGAAGCGAAGCGTAGAACATAACAGCTAGACTGTAGCCGTTTTTCCACTGATCATAAAATTGATCACAAAAATAAATATGCTTAATGGAAATACACCAGTTCTGAAAAACTGGTTAGTTATTTTGGGTAGGATGCAGCAGTTTTTCAAAATGTGTGTATTTCGTAAAACGATAATGGAAACTTTATTTCCATTATTATTTATTTATTATTATTTATTTATTATTTACTTATTATTATAAGTAATAATATTATTATATTATTATTATAATTATTATTATAATTATATTATTATTATTATTATTATTATTATTATTATTATAATATTTATTACTCCACATAATAATATTAATATTAATAATATTATTATATATATATATATATATATATTATTATTATTATATATATATATATATTATTATTATTATAATAATATATATTATTATATATATTATTATTATTATATATTATATAATAATAATATTATTATTATAATATTATTTTTTACTCCACACGATCCGCACTTGTCTGTTTGGTAACACTTTATTTGAAGTGGGGTGCATAAGACTGACAATGGCACTGCCATTACAACTGTCATGAACATTGAGTCTTCATGAATGTTTGACTATTATGAAGTGTCATTTGGTAAATAATGGCACATTTAAAGTAAAGTTCTATTAAAACGCTCATTAAAAGTGTTAACTTTGCATTAAAGCTGTCATTATTTACTGACTAACACTTCTGGTAAATAACACATTCAAATAGAGTTACCAATAATGTGTGACGTATTTACGTGAATACCTGTTCAAGGATTCCTCAGTTAGGCATAAAAAACCCAGGTATGTCTTCAATGATGGACTAACATTATAAAAAGCTAAAAAATAAATAAATAAATAAAAAAGCTGATTTTGCAAAATGCCTTTTCCCATTTTTAAGCTGTACTCCATGTCCTGCTTTATTTTCCGTCTTTGCTCCAAACTGGCTCATTACCGCTAATCACTGATGATCTAATTCTTCCCGGTTGACTGTTTTAAAGAGTCATCGTTTACTTCAAGGACCTTGCTACTACAACCACTGAGAGATGTGCATTTTTGTGGTGACACACGTTTTCTTATAAAATAATTGTGTAATGTAACGATGGAGCAGTCTGGGTTATTTGAGACAAGACATTGAGGTCCATTGCTTTCTAAAAGGAGACCAGTACATAACTGGGTGGGGGTACACTGAGGTCGCCCACTGGGAGCTAAAAGAGGAGTCTGTACTTGACCAGGTTTACAAGCTGTGAGCACAATCACGTCTTCAAACCTCATGAAATGTGGTGAAGATGACCATTTAATGTAAGATATGATATTTTGCATTTATTTCAATTTTAGCAATGAAGTTTCACAGTTACATGTAAAAAACAAACAAACAAGAAAACAAGCCCACAACAAAATCTCTCTGTACACTGGGACATTATTTAGGTCAAAACAGCTGCGTGTTTAATACAGATTCAAAAACACAAAGAAAATCAGTGTGTAAGGCTGTATTTTTTAAAAAAATACACAGTATATTAGCTGCTCAATGCTGATTCATGATACATGAATAGTTTTGTAAATTTTAGCTACACAAAACATCACCAAAACATTGTGGTGGCATTAAATATAAAGTGTAATCGAGCTTTAAGAGACTTCTTTTTCAAATGTTGAGAATTATGAAGTCTGTCTGGATCACAAGTAGGTTTTGTAAAATAATTTGAATGTTTAAGCAGAAGTTTAGTAACTATTTCCAAGCTTCAGACCTTCTGCTGCATAGAGAATGTTTGTGCTCACATTATAGATGACTGGACATGTTTGCTGCTGTTGTCTCATTCAGAAGAGACTCCATTCATGGGTGTAAACAGTCTGAAT